CGGTCCCCAGCTAGAGCTCTGCCTGCCACCCTGCCTTCTTCCCTCCCCACAAAAGCTCAGTACAATCCCCTGCTCTCAGACAGGCCCAGATTATCTCCAGCTAATATTTGTTGATCGTTTCTACTGATTCAATCTTTACACAAATCCTATAAGGTCAAGTATCATTCCTATATGCATGAGGAAACTGAGACTCAAAGAAAATAAGTCACTGCACAGAGCCACTTAGCTAATAATTGGGAGAGCTAGGACCCAGTCTGAAAGTTGCTACCTTAAGCCCTGCCCTGCAGCACAGACTCCCCGGCTGCTTAGCTCTTGCCCCCCGATGCTGGACTCACCTACGCATAGGAGATTCTGTCACAGGGACTTGAGCAACTTCATGTTTCAGCAACAGAATTTCAGCAACAATTTTTCTGGTGCCAGCAGGCCTTGCCCCACTCAAGGGGGACAGAACAAGACAGAATCTGGGGTCAGAGCTGTGGCAGCCACACATAGAACTCAGGTTGTGTTTGTTCCATTCCCCAGGCACCTTCCCCAGGCTGACCCTCGGGCCCTCTGCTCCACTCACGCCCAGCGCAGCCAGCATCGTCATGAAGACCCCTGTTTTGACATTTCTGAGGTGCTTCAGCCTATGTTTTCAGCCATAAGAAACTTGAGGCAGGCAGAGAAGAAGGGGAGAGAGGGCTGGGAGGAGGTGGCCATAGCAGGGAGGGGTGGTGGCAAAAGCCAGAGGAAGCGGGAATCAGAATGAAACCAGGGACCAGGATGCCTTCATAGGTTGAGGGTGAGCTCAGCAAGGGGCCCCAGCTTCTCTGTCCAATCCAGGAACAGCTGATCAGCCCAATCCCTTTGAAACCCTGGACCTTCATTATGAAGAGATGGGGCCAATCAGGGACCAAAGGCTGTGGCTCACGCCTGTAATCTCAGCACTTCGGGAGGCCAGGGTGGGCAGATCATGAGGTCAGGAGATTGAGACCATCCTGGCTAACATGGTGAAATGCCGTTTCTACTAAAAATACAAAAATTAGCAAGGCATGGTGATGCGCACCTGTATTCCCAGCTACTTAGGAGGCTGAGGCAGGAGAATTGCTTGGACCCTGGAGGCGGAGGTTGCAGTGAGCCAAGATCATGCCACTGCACTCCAGCCTGGGCGACAGAGTGACTCCATCTCAAAAATAAAATAAAATCCCCAATCTGAGGGCATGGAGAGCATGGGGCGGGTAAGGCAGTAAGGAATGTGCAGGGAGAAACGATGCTGTATCTCGGCTGCCACGCTCAGAACCACAGCAGCTTTACTGCCTCCTGAGTCAGGGACTGGGAGGGGCAAATCCCCACAAGACCATTCTCCCCCATTCCCGTTCACTCCCTTGGACCTGTATCCATTCAACCAACAGTGATTGATATGCTGCTCTATGCCAGGCTTGGTGCTGGGCTCTGAGACACAACCATGAACAATCCAAACACAGTCCCAATCCTTAGGGGACTTTCTGCCTGGGAGACACAGACGCTAAAGTAATAAGTAACCAAGTATACACACATAAACTGGGGTGGGTGCTGTAAAACTGTCGAATGCTCTAAGAGAGTGTCATAGAGGAACATAAATTAGATGGGCTAGGGTGGGGGTGGCAGTTGTCTGTGAGATAGAAGATCTCACTGAAGAAACGGCAGTTAAATCAACAACTGAAGAATGCATAGGCACTAACCAGGTGAATGGGGACGGAGAAGATGGGAGATTACAGGGAGAGGAAACAGCATGTGCAAAGGCCTGCAATGATAAAGAGGGTGGCGTGTTTTAAAGGAAGCCAGAGTAGCTGGAAGGTAGTGGGTGACAGCAATGTAGGCATCAAACCTGGGGGCAGGGGAGGAAGGGGCTGGAGCATGCAGGGCACAGGCCATGGCTAAGATTTTGGAGTTCAAGCTGAAAGGTGGTATCATCATGTTTATACTTCAAGATCATGCAGGCTTCAGTGTGGAGCTTGGAGCTGTGAAGGGGGCCAGAGAAGAAGTGGAGAGATCGGTTAGGAGGCTGCAGTGATTGTGCAGGGGAGAGATGAAGATGGTTTCCTTGGTAATGGCAGCAGAGCTGGAGAGAAGAAGACATGATCGAGAAATACTGAGGGATAAGGTGGACAGGCTTTCATAATGGATCACCTACTAACGTACAGAGGGGCAAGTATCAACAGTGACTCCTGGGCTTGCAGGTGGATGACGATGCCACTCACCAAGACAAAGAGAGCTGGAGGAAAAACGGATTTGGAGGCAGAGATCAAGAGTTCAGTTTGGACATAGTAAGTGTGAAATGCTTCTCAGACCACCCAGTGGAAAGATTAAGAAAGCCATTGGATGTAGAAGTCTAGAGCTTAGGAGACAGGTCTGAGCTGGAGGTATACATTTGGGAGTTGTAATGCATTCTTTGAGTAATGACACTATGATGGCTGTGAGAATGTGCTTAGCAGACCTCCGAGACACAGGACTCCCTTGACAGCCGACTTTGGCTTGAGGGCCTCCCAAAGCCTTACAATCCTCAGATCGCACAGCAGACAGGGACCCTTGCATTCAACCTACCTTCCCTCAGTCTGTCACTCAGGGTTAGACTTGCATGGTGGTCTGATGGCTTTTCCAGCCTTTTCCAATTCCCTCCCCATTACTCTCATCAGTTTTTCCCCTAATAAAATCCATGTACATTTCACCCCATCTCGGTGGCTACTCCTCAGAGGACCCAAGCTAACACAAATCCCACTTTGTCCACATCTTCCCATATCCACGCCTTGGGCAGCCACTCCCTATACTAAGTCTAGCTTAGCATGTGACTTACTTTAGGAATGGAACGATAGGAAATGAGACACCAGCAGAAAACTGAAAAGGGCTTGCTCCCTGGGGCACGCCCTCTCTCCTTGCTGTGTTCTGAATGTCTGTATCCTCCCAAAATTCATATGTTGAAAGCTAATCACCATTGTAATGGTATTAGGAGGTGGGCCTTTAGGAAGAGATTAGGTCATGAGGGTGGGGACCTCATGAATGGGATTAGTGCCCTTCCAAAAGAGGCCCCAGTGAGCTCCTTACCTTTCCACCATGTGAGGACATGCAAGGCACCACCTACGAACCAGGAAGCAGGCTCTCACCACGACTAAATCTGCTGCCAGTTCCTTGCTATCAGACTTCCCAGCCTCCAGAACTGTGAAAATTAAGTTCCTGCTGTTTGTGAACCACCCCGCCTATGGTATTGTGTTACAGCAGCTCAAACAAAGGCATTCTTGCTTCTGAAACCTTCTGCAACTATGTGAAGACACCTGGGCTGGCCTCTCTGGGGATGCAAAACCATGAAGAGAGAGGCTCCAGCATCCCAGCTGTCCCCCTGCCCTTGCCTCAGCTGATGACCCACAGATGTCAGTGAGGGCAAACCAGACCATCCAACTCCAGGCAGGCCTGCCTAGGACAAAGGAACCACCAGCCAGCCCACAGAATTGTGAGAAATGCTAACTGTTGTTTTAGGCCTCTGAGTTTGGAGGTGATTTATTACATAGCAAAGCTAACTGTTACAGGAGTGTGGGGCATACAGATGGTATTCAAAGCCATGGGACACAGCTGGTCTGATCACGGATGTGTAGGTCCTGTCTTCATCCTCCCAGACCAGAACCTTTCCTAGAGTTCTTGCCATTAGCCAGGTCTCTTTCTGAACATGTATTTAGCACTTAACTGTGTTCTTGGCAACGTACTGAGGAGCCGTGGGTATGTAGTGATAACTGAAATACAATCTTTACCCTGGGGAGAAAGATGAGAAATGGGGAGATCAGAGAAAACTCTCCTTTAATTTTCTATAAATTAAAAACTGTTGGATACAAAGTTGGCAGGAATATAAAATCTGCCTGGATTCTGGCACTTCGGCTTCATGGTGACACTTTCTACACGGATACACATACCACACACGCTCCATAGTATCACCACCTCAGTCAGCTCCCCACTTGCTCAGAGAGGAGCTGATGGGCCCTCACTGTCGCTTCAAAGTCAACTGATAGGGACCTTGTCAAAGTCATAGCTGGGGAGCACAATGACCCCATCACAGGGGATACTGTACTGCAACAAAGGGAAGGAGAATCAGGATTTGCCAAAGGTTCCAGGGTAGCTTCTTTACTTGTTTATGTATTCAGTAAACGTATCAGTCACCTACTAAGGGAAAAGCATTGGAGACACATAGATAAGATACAATCCTCGCCATCAAGGATCTCAGCACAGGTGAGGCTGACAGTTACAACACTACCTAAGAAGCACAGGGTCAGAGGTAAGCACAGGATGCCAAGGGCACAAGGAGAAGAACCCAGGACAGCCTGAAGGGATCAAGGAATCGGGATAAGCAACTGTGAGCCAGGCCGCCGTGGGGTGGGCCAGGGCAGGGCAGGTGTCAGGGCAAAAGGGAGGAAGAAGAGTCACAAATGATGCCTAGATTTCTTTCCTGGGCAACAGGACGGAAGGTGGTACCACTTGCTGAAAGAGGCTACGTGGGAGGAGGACAAGACTTGGGAAATGAAGATGGATTCAGTTTTAGACAGGTGAGTTGAGGTATTATGAGGTATTGAAGCATAAACATCTAGTATTCCATTGGAGAGAAACCCTGAAACTCAAAAGAGAATCCTAGGTTGGAACACAAATTTGGAAGTCACCAGCATATGAGCAATGGCTGAAGCAAAGGGAGGGATGTGTGGACCATAAGTAGCTAACAGGACCAGGGTGGACTGGGAAGCACCTGCATTTACGGATCAGTCGCTCAGTGCCATCTGGAGGAGGAGCTCAGCCAGAGATAACCGGAGGAGAAACTGCCAAGCAGTGGGAGCACCCATGAGACACCACCGAGGTATCCCAGCCTCCTTCTCGGGGCTGGCCAGCTCTCCTCTCCGCAGTTTATTGTAAATGGTCAGGACAGGAATTAGCACTACGATGTTACTGATTAGTAACAGATGTCTTCAGAAATATTTGCATTGTAATGAGGGGTCCAGAACTCACAATAATTCTGGCTTCAAAGTCAAGACTGGAGTCAAACTCAGGATCTACCACCTATGATCTCGGGTTCCACAGGCCTTTCTGCTCAACTATAAAACAGAAATGACAATTCCTATACCTCAAAGAGGTGTACAGTATATCTAGTTTCTGGCACATGCCAGATGCTCCACACCCAATAAGTCCCTTCAGTTATCCTTCTAACACAGGTTCCCAAACTTATGTGCATCAGACTCCCCTGGAGTGCTTGGCCCCACCCCCAGAGTGCTTGGCCCCACCCCAGAGTGCTTGGCCCCGCCCAGAGTGCTTGGCCCCGCCCCCAGAGTGCTTGACCCCACCCCCAGAGTGCTTGGCCCCGTCCCGAGTTTCTGATTCAGGACATCTGGGACTGGGCATGAGAATTTGAATGCCTAAGAAGTTCTCAGGGGTGGTGATGTAGCTGGTCCAGGAACCACACCTTGGGACAGGATGTTCTTCCTAAGGACCCCTCTCGTGTGAGTGTAACCCCAGACTGGTCTTGTGGCCCGTGAGGTCTGAGATCTAGGGCCTAAGTGCAGGAAGCCAAAGGGAAGTGAGGGGCAGAGACACACACAGTCTTCTCCCTCAGCTGTCACCCAAGACATCTCAAAGGCTGGAAGCTGAGTGATTCACACCTCCGTGTTTGAACAACTGTGACTCACGGCTCTGGGTGCAGGAGGTACGCTGTGTTGACTCAACCCTCCCAGAGGGCAGGTAGAGGGAGGAGGGGAGCAGGTTTTCAGAGTTGCAGTTCGCAGGGTGGACTGAGAGCCCCTCTGAACCCAGTGAGCCCCACCTTGGGCTGGGGAGAAGAGAGAGCTGTGGCAGCACTGGAGGAAGGTAAAGGCTACGCAGTCCTCATCCTGGGCAGCGTGGGGAAAACAGCCACCCTCCCACATGCGGGAGGCAGAAGGAGGCCTGGGCATCTCTTCCCAGTTTCCACTAAGTTAACCCCTGTCTGCTCTGCATTAAGAAGACCCTGAGAAGGAAGAAGAGCAGCCTGGATCTTCCTCAGAAACTGTACTCCTGCAGTATTGCCTGTCCCGCTCCATCCCTCGGTATCCTGTAAACCCAGGGAACCTCCTTCACTCTCCCAGGGCTTCACGGATGCAAACATCCAGGAAAGCCCAGCAGTGCCAAGAGCAGAAGGAACAGGATCTTCTTCCCACAAAGGCCTGTCCTAGGCATCATCTAATTTATTTCTTAAACATCTGCTCTGAACTCCCGATTTACATTTATGATTTAATTCATCCTACATTCACTACCACACTAGGTACTGAAACTGCAAATATTAATTAATCACAATGCTTGACCTCAAAGAATTTTCCCCAATGAGATAGAAAATGTGCTGCATTCATTTCATAGTCTCTGAAACACTTCTGCATACAATTTAACTTATTCCTCCCAATAGCCATAGAGAATTGGTGATATAGATCCTATTTCATTTTTATCATTCTGATCTTTGGCTTAAATATTGCCTCCTCAGAAGCCTTCCCTGATGTTACAATCTAAAGTGCTACCCTGTCACTGCCACATCACCCTCTACTAATTCTCTGAATGCCATTCATTATGGTCTGATTTTTTTTTAACAATCTACTTATCTATGTATGGTTTCTCTCTTCCTGCAATAGAATATAAATTCCACAACAGTAGTATATTTGGCTGTCTTGTTCACCGCTCTATTCCCAGTATCCAAGTCAGTGCCTGGCCCAGAACAGGCACTCAGGACACATTTGCAGAAAGAGGGAAGAGGGGAAAGGAGAGTAGAAGAAAGGAAGTGAAAAGCGGGGAGAAGCTAAGTGATTTTTCACCCAGTGACAGAACTGAGCACACATCAGGGGCTTTGCCCCCCCAAGCCCAGGCCCCTTCCTCTCCAGTCACCATGGGAGCTGCTCTGAACCAGGGCTCAGGTTCTGAGGTTGGGAGGCTGACTTTCCTTGACTGGACGAATCTAGGACTCTCAGACTTCAGCATCGAAGCTCATTAACCCAGTCTGAGATCCAAGAAAAAAACAGAAAGGTGGAAGTTGGATGCGTGTTCACTTGTCATTGGGAAACCCTTCACTAAGGATAGGGTGGAACTTTTTTGTATTTAAGATCATTACATTCGAGAAAACATCAATCAAGAACTAAACAAGTCAAGAGTAACTCAATTTACCTTCTTTTCAGAAGCAGAAATGTAAAATGTTCCTCACAGCCTTTTAAATTAAGAACAAAGAATAAAATTCCTATTCAGTAAATATAGCAAACAAAAAAATTCTATTATGTAACAAGTCAAGGGTAAGAGAGGGAGACCAGAATAGAGGAAGAGAGAGAAGGGGAGGGAGACAGAATCAGATGACAGTCAATGATCTTAACGTGGGAAGGGGCCTCAGGTGACCATTGGCTCCAGGTTCCCTTCTCTGAAAGACAGTTATGTGCCTGTGTATTAATAAGTGGAGACCCAGCAGGTTTAAGTGATTTTTCTCACAGTCATACAGCTAGTATGGATTAGAACAAAACCCGATCCACTATGCCAGGGTCAGAGAATATATAATTTGATAAAAGAAATACTTTCTTAAATATGTAATTTGATAAAAGAAATACTTAGAAACCAATCACCTAAGAGAAAGAACCATGTCATTTTCATCCTTATTTTTCCATTCCTTCTGGAAAAAGAACGTGTACACATTTGGTTCCTGAGAAGGGGGAAGGAATCCCAAAAGATACTTAAGAGAGGCATACACACAGATACCTTCTGCAAGATAGCAAGGCGCAGAGAACTACTTTGATATCAAGTTGCATTTTTGCAACTACAGTGATATTTTCAACAATAAGACGTGTGTCCATCAGTGCAGCCCCAGATTTTTTTTACCCAGGTTAGAAATTTTATGAAAACTCACAGGGACAGATGCCCTCCTGTGCCACAGGCAGCTGTGCCCAAGATAGTATCACACCTTCATCCTGGTGCTCCCAGGGGCTGTGCCCTCAGCCCCATTCAGCTGCTGCTGTCACTACTAATTCTACACTGAGAATCTAGAGCACTCTCTCTTCACCCCAATCACAGACTAGTGTTTATGGAGGAAATTTTATTTTTCAACTGTAGTGCACACAGTTACAAAGGCCCTGTGATTCAGAGACTGAATCTTCCAAAGCAATACCATGTGAACATAAACGGAAAGGTGTTTCCTTGGGGGAGCCCATTCTAGAACCTCATTCAGCGCAACTCCTCCAAGTCCATGCATGTATTGCAGACAATAGAACCCTCTTGAATCCTCATGTCAGGGATGAGGATGACATTCGTAACACCAGTTTTCCAGGTTACAATGAGAAAGGTACCACTCATCTTTGCTTCTGTTAGGAAGGTACTTGATTTGCACATAAACAACTCTAACCATTTGTTACAACTGTTTGTAACATTGGTTTTGCAAGGGGCTTTTTGGGGCCAAATGGCTTTATGATTTGTAACATGCATAATTGGTCCAGTGGCCTAGTTCCAGGTTCCCCCCACACTGTCAGCACCAGGAGGACAAAGAACATGTTTCTCTTTCTCCCATTGTCCTGCCTCTCACCCCCACCCCATTCCCCCACTGCTCAGATCATCATTCAGGGCATATTGCAGACGGCTGTTAGTATAGTACTGTATTTCCTGCTTTTCCCAATTCTCCATCACTTATTGGGGATGCAAAGTAATATATGCCAGCAACTCGTCTGCTCATCCCTGCCCAGATGAGCTACCCCATTTTCTAGACCAGAGCCAGGCTGAGGCCTGCCCACAAGAGACCAAGGGCAGTCGCTGCTCCACCCAGGAGATTTCCTCCATGGCCCTCCATCTAACTCCTGTCCATCAGCCCCATCTGCCCCGTCTACCCTCCACCGATAGAGGGGAAGAGAAAAGGCATGGCTCTGCCTAGGATTTACAGAGCACAGAGAAGAAAGCCACCTTGAACTGTGGCACTGCTAAAGCTAGAAAATACCTGCAAGGCATCTTCCCAACCTTCATTTTCAGGCAAATTAAATGAGGCCCAACTAGGTTAGTGGCTTGCGCAAGGTCACACGGCTTCTTAGTGGGGCTGAGTCAAGTAGAAATGAAGTCTCTCATGCAGTACCCTTTAACTACCTCACCCTGACCCAATCACCGTCCTGCCTCCTTTCCCCCCAGCCATGCTGTTCTTGGTCTGGTAAATTATTGTGCTGCAGGGTAGGTAGGAATGACAATGTCTGGAATTATCTACATGAGCCTCTATTTTTGCCTTTGTGATAGAGATGATCTGAGGGACCCAACCAACACCTTATCAACCAGAGATGGTCTGGTTCCCCTACTAGTCTACAGAACTACTTCTGGGGAAGCCAAGGGGTGGGAAGGCCCTTTCCAATTTAGGCCATGGTCAGTCTCTAAGACAACTGGGTTCACCTAACTATAATCCCCAGAGAGGCAGGCATCAATAACTAAGGTGCAGACAAAGCCTGAAAATCAGATGGTGAGACAGGCTCCACCTTTCCGTTAGACAATTCTGCCACCCCGGGTGGGACTCATGAGACAATGGACTGGGATCCAGAGGTGAGATCTAGGCTGCCAGGCAAAGAGTGGAAGGCAATGAAGTTTGGTGCTTCGTCCCTTCCAAATCTCATGCTGAAATGTGACCCCCCAATGTTGGAGGCAGGGGCCTAGTGAGAGGTGTTTGGGTCATGGGGGCAGATCCTTCATGAATGGCTTGGCGCCATCCTCGAGGTAATGAATGCATTCTCTTTCTATTAGTTGCTGTAAGGTCTGGTTGGTAGAAAGAGGCTGGCACCTCCCTCCTCTCTCTCTCTCTTGCTTCTCTGTCATCATGTAATCTGCACACACCAGCTCCTTCCCCTCCTACCAAGAGTGAACGCTTCCTGAAGCCTTCACCAGAAGCAGGTGTTGACACCATGCTTTTCTGTATAGCCTGCAGAGTCGTAACCCAAATAAAGCTCTTTTCTTTATAAATTATCCAGCCTCAGGTACTACCTTTATGGCAAAGCAAAATGGACTGAGACAGA